TTTACTTCTCATCTGCCATGAGATGAGCTTGCGGTGTTTCACCAACTGCTGCTGGCCACACGTTAGCCTCACCCTAGACCCACGCAATGGAGTCAGCTTACCGGGGACGTAAACCTCTGAAAACCGTGAACCAAAGTAAACTTTCCTCCCCTAAACAACAACCACCAACAAGCAAGATGACTTATCCAGGGAGGCTGCCTCCTGCCCATTCCGACTACTTGAGTTTCATCCCTCGGACCCACATGTGAAGCACCTGGGGACGAAATTACTAGAAGGAAGACATACCTGTTTGACCACAGTCTGTTAGAACCTGGAGATCATGGAGAGGTTGAAATGTTGCAGATACAAAGCCTAATTGTAACTTATCTTGTGTGTGACCCGACATTTTGTGACTATCAAGTAAACTTTTGGGAATGTATGGGAACTTCTAGAACCTCTAGCCTCTGTCGACCCAAATGCGGGAACGTTAGCAGAGGAATCTGGGGACTAGAGCAGACACGTCCCTGGTTTTCTGTAGCCCATTTTCCTGTTTCCACCAATGCATTCAAAGAATGTTTTAATTTGTGATGCTCTTTACTGCTACTATAAAAACCTCATCTAGCTGGGAGCATTTCAGGGCATGGAATTTTGGGTACCCTGATTTTTTTCCCCATGGGCCATTGTCACTCACACGTGACTTCAGGATAAACTGTCTCTTATACCCTTTGAGGAGAGAGTTGTGTTTTCGCTGACTCACTCACCCCAAACTTGATTTTAAGAGATTAATCTTGAATGGAAGTTATTACTGTTGTGTTATTCTATTTATCAATTATTTCTTTATGGTGTGGGAAATGTAAACAAAATGTACTGCCTCTTCTATTAATGGGTTACATAAGACAAAAACTCCATAAAAAAAAAAACTGGAATGCATAACAGAAAAAAAAAAATTCCAAGCCGGGCGGTGGTGGTGCACGCCTTTAATCCCAGCACTCGGGAGGCAGAGGCAGGCGAATCCCTGTGAGTTCGAGGCCAGCCTGGTCTACAAGAGCTAGTTCCAGGACAGGCACCAAAAACTACAGAGAAACCCTGTCTTGAAAAATCAAAAAAAAAAAAAATTCCTCCAGGGTCAGTTCTCTCCTCTTCCTCCTCCTCCTCTTCTTCTTCGTTTGTTTGTTTGTTTTTGTTTTTTGAGACAGGGTTTCTCTGTAGTTTTGGTGACTGTCCCGGAACTAGCTCTTGTAGACCAGGCTGACCTCGAACTCACAGAGATCTGCCTGCCTCTGCCTCTCAAGTGCTGGGACTAAAGGCGTGCACCACCACCACCCGACCAGTTCTCTCTTCTTCTTTTTTTTTTTAAAGAATTTATTTATTCATTATGTATACAATGTTCTGCAGACCAGAAGAGGGCCCCAGATCTTACTACAGATGGCTGTGAGCCACCATGTGGTTGATGGGAATTGAACTCAAGACCTCTGGAACAGCAGGCAGTGCTCTCAATGCTGAGCCATCTCTCCAGCCCCAGTTCTCTCTTCTTGATATCAAAATATTTGCTCAAGCTTGCATTCTGCTTATCAACTGCATCCGTTTGTGAGGCTAAGTTCTGGGCACTTAGGGTGACGCACAGGGACCCTCTGGGTTAGGAATAAGCACCCAGCGTGGCTGCCCTGCCCTTCGGGTGCCCTTGCTCTGGGTGCACTTCCCTGATCGATTTGGCACCACAGAGTTCCCTTTCTTATGTGTGTGTTCCAAAGTATTTTGGATTGTGTGGTCATTTTCTTGGGTTCACAAGCCCATATATCACAATGATAACAAGCCTACCAAGGTCAAAGAGAATATTTACTAGTTAGTTCAGGGGCTGGGGATGTGGATCATTGGTAGAATGCTGGTTTCACAAACACAAAGCCCTGTATTCCATTCCCAGCACCTAATACGCTAAGTGTGGTGGTACTTGTCTGTAGTCCAGGCACTTGAGAGGTAGAGATAGGAGGAGCGAGAGTTCAAGGTCATCCTTGGTTAGCCATTTTGAGACCAGCCTGGACTATTAAGACCTCATCTCAAATCAAAAAACTAACCAAACTCAAACAAAAGCCCATTACTTTCAAGACAATCACTGATGTATCAATGAGGTTGATACAAGTACCTAGCAGGTACCTAGATGGATACCATTTCAACATGGATGCAAACCAATTCTCCTACTTAAATTCATCTCTGAGCCATTTTATGGTGTGGCTCTCAGAGGCACTTAGCCTGTGTTCCAGAAGAATCTATCTCTGAAGCCTTGGTTTTTATTATTCATTCTTCCACTCACCTTAAAACACTTCTGGCTTGGGGACGCCTCTCTGCCTTGTTAGTTAACCCTTCCTCTATACTACAGAGTCAAACACAGTGTGTCATAGTTATTTACGTCCAGAACTGGTCCTCCAACTAGGCTGTCAGCTGGCTTGGACAGGGAGTGTGTATTACTCATACCTGAATCACCAGCACCCAGTGGGCAATTGCTGTAAGATTGTTGAGTGAATAACACAATGGAACATCACAATGAACACAAAGACACAATGAACATCACTGTGGGGCTCTCTCTGTTCAAGACAGGTACAGGTACAGGGCACCCGTCAGTGCATATTCTGTCAGCTGGACCTGAGATGACATTTTGTTGACTTGTTGATTTTTACTATTTTTTAAAACTTAATTTAAGTTTATTTCATGTGCATTGGTACAATGATATCAGATTCTCTTGAACTGGAGCTACAGACAGCTGCAAGCTGCCATGTGGGTGCTGGGAATTGAACCCGGGTCCTCTGGAGGAGCAGTCAGTGCTCTTAACCACTGAGCCATCTCACCAGCTCCAGTTTTTACTATTTTTAAACAGGGTTTCACTCCAAGTCCCTATGCAGCTGAAATGACCTTAAACTGATTTTCTTGCCTCCAGCTCCAAAGTGGGGGAATTACAGGCAAGTGTCACCATACCAGACTCCCCCCGACTTTTAATCAGTTCCTCAGATATGATCCCCTGTAAACCATGTTAACATGGTTGGGCAGTCGTGGTTACATAGCTTTAGTCTCAACACTGGGGGGCAGAGGCAGGTGGATTTCTGAGTTTGAGGTCAGCCTGGTTTACATGAAATTTCAAGCTACTCAAGGCTACACAGTGAGAACCTGTCTTCCTTGGAAACATCTTAACAGGTTTTTGATACATAATTTATATGTTCCATTATTCACTCATTTAAAGCATGCAGTTCAATACTCAATGTTATTCATCTATTCTGAGGCGGTGTCTTCCTGCAATCTTGCTTGTCCTGGAGTTCACTATGTAAACCAGGCTGGCCTCAAACTCACAAGAAATTCTCTTGCTTCTGCCTCCCAATTTATTCAATATTTTAAAAAGTTTATTTTCAAGTGTGTGTGTGCATGTGTGAGTGTGCCTGTGCATGTAAGTGCAGGTGCCCCAGGAGGTCAGAAAAGGGCACTGGAGCCCCTGAGCTAGAATACAGGGCCTATATGTCTATTAGTGATCACTTGGGTCCCCTGCAGAAGTAGGACTCACCCACCCTTCATGGCTGAGCTCCAACAGTCAATGTTTTCAATATTCCCGTAATTACGCCATCATCCTCATGTAGTTCCTCTTGTTGCTGTTGTTTGGGAGGAAGGCTCTTCCTACATATCCCAAGTTGACCCAGAATGCACCATGTAGCCCAGACTGCCTTCAAATTCAAGGCATTCCACCTGCCTCAGCCTCCCAAGTACCTGGATAACAGATACGTTTACCACCCTAGATTTCCTACAATAGATTTAAAGATTTAAAACGTTCCCTCTAAAAGAAATTATCTTTTAAGTCACTCCCTATTTCTGTCCAGCTTCTCTTTTTTACACTAATCAACCACTAATCTACTATCTTTATATATTTCCTTCTCCTACTTTTGTTTTGTGGTGTGTGTGTGTGTGTGTGTGTGTGTGTGTGTGTGTGTGCGTGCATGTTAGAGACAGGGTTTCTCTGTGTAGTGCGTGTTGTTGTGGAACTTGCTCTGTAGACCAGGCTGGCCTCAAACTCACAGAGATCTGCCTGCCTGTGCCTCCTGAGTGCTGGGATTAAAGGCGTGCACCACCACCACCTGGCAAGATTTAATTATTAGACTCTTTCCCTTTCTTTCTCTCTCTCTCTCTCTCTCTCTCTCTCTCTCTCTCTCTCTCTCTTTCTTTCTTTCTTTTTTTTTTTTTGAAACAAGGTCTCCTGTACCCAAGTCTGGCCTTGAACTCACTGTATAGAGGATGATCTTGAATCTCTAATCCTTCTGCCTCTTACTTCCAAATGCTGGAATTATAGCAGATATGGGCCAGCAGGTCCAGCCCTTTTCCTTTTTAAAGGTTGATTTTATGTATATGTGTGAGTGCCTGCGTGTATGTATACACTTAACATGAATGCCTGGTGAGAGGCTATAAGAAGGCTCTGGATACTTTGGAATTGAACTTATAGGCTGTTGTGAGCCACTATGTTGTCCTGATCCTCTGCTAGAACTGGAAGTACTCTTAACTGCTATGCCATCTCTCCAACTCCTTCCCTCCCTCCCTCCCTGTTTCTGTGTGGCCCTGGTTGTCTCTAACTCAGAGGTGTGCCTGCCTCCACCTCCCCTTGCTGGAATTAGAGGCGTGTGCCTCTAATTCCTGTTTTGTTTTTTTTTTAAATCTCACTCATTCATTCACTCACTAATTCATTCATTCGTTTAACACAGGGTCTCCAATAGCCCAGGATGGCTTGAAACTCACTATACAGCTGGCCAGGAACTCGTGGCAATCCCCCTGCCTCAACCTCTCTAGGGTTAGACTAACAGGTATGAACGAACATGACCGGCTTGGGGGTTTTAAAGCATCCATGGACGGAACCTTATCTTATTAAAACACTAACAAAACCTAGACCACGGAGATGTTTAAATTCTGTCTCCAAACACTCGACAGGCTGAAAGTCTGAACGGCGCGACACCTAGGACCTGCGGCGGTCCCGACGTGCAGCAGGCCGTCCCAGAGTGCCTTGCGGCACGCACAGCGCCGGAGCGCCGTGCGGCGGTTGCGCGACGTGAGGCTTGTCCCTTCCAGCGGCTGCAGCACGAAGCCGAGGCGACATGGAAGTGTAAGCGGCACGTCCACGGGAAACCCGACTCTTCTGGGGACCGTGAGGCGGCTGGCGGCCGGACCTCCGGACCGCGAGCTGGACGGGTGGGCGGAGTGAACGGGCCGGAAGTACCTGGTGCCGGGGCGGCAAGGGAGGGATCCAGCTGGTCTGGCAACCGGCTCCCCTCACACATTCTTTAGGGAAGGGGATGTCGGAGGAATAAATTCTTTCTTTCTTTCTTTCTTTCTTTCTCTCTCTCTCTCTCTCTCTCTCTCTCTCTCTCTTTCTTTCTTTCTTTCTTTCTTCCTTCCTTCGTTTCTCTCTCTCTCCCTCCCTCCCTCCCTCCCTCCCTCCCTCCTCTCCCTTCTTCTTTACTTTCTTTCTTATTTATTTTTTTCCTGGTTCTGGGCTTGAAACTCAAGACCTTACCCGTACTCCGCAAGTAGTCTATCCCCGAAGTACCTCGCAGTCACATTTACCATTTTGGGCTGCGCGCTTTGCATATGCTAGGGAAACACTCTACTGCTGATCCATATCCCCCCAGCCACCACCATCATCGTTTTGTAATGCTGGAGATGATACCCAGGAGTTCGCGCGTGCTAGGCAAAGGCTTTGCCACCGAACTGCATCCCCAGCCATTCTCTCCGTCGTTATTTTGTGATACTGATAATCAGGGCTGTGAACGTACTAGGCGTACTAGTTTGCTAGTTTCCTTTCTGTTGTGTGATAAACACCATGAGCAAAAGGTGTATCAACTTAGGGATAGAAACGTTTATTGCATTTTTTTTCTAGTTTTTTTTTTTTTTTTTGAGACAGGGTTTCTCTGTGTATCTGACTGTCCTAGAACTCACACTGTAGAACAGGCTGGCCTTGGAACTCACAGGGCAGACTCCAAAGCTACAGAGAAACCCTGTCTTGAAAAATAAAAAAAAAAAACAAAAACACCCCCCCCCCCAAAAAAAAAGACTAGGCAAATTTTTGAGCTATATACCTCCCCAACTCTCCCCAACCATCATCACCATCACCATCATTTTGTGATGTTGGGGATGGTATCCAAGAATCTTGCACATGCTAGGCGGGTACCACTGACTGGCACCTTCCACACATCTATTATTGCTGCTATTATTTGTGGTGCTGGTGATGGAAACTAGGGATACTAAGCAAGCACTTTAACACCGAGCCAAACCCCCATCCTTGTATTGTGGTGTTTGGAATGACAGTGTCCTGAACATTCTAGGCAGTTACTCTTCCACCAGCAAAGCCATCCTAACAGTTTTTTCTCCGTAATTTTTTTTTAAATGATTTGATGTGCAAGTGGAATGATTTGCATCTACTCTAGCTGTGGACTTGATATGTGTACATGGTTGACATACCTAAATTGTGTTATTAAATTCATCTTTATGTTCTGTTTAATTGTTATGTGTGCGACAGTTTGTCAGGCTTTTTTGATACAGAGTCAGACGTAGCCCAGGCTGGCTTTGAACTTGCTATTTTTAGCAGAGGATGATCTTGGAGTTTTGATAGCCTGTCTCCACCTCTCAAGCCACCACATCAGACTAGCCCTTCAGTATCTGAGATGAGGGTCTCTCACTGTGAAGCTCAGGTTGTCTGCTTCAGCTTTCTCCACCTCTGAGTAGCTATGCCAGAAACCCTGGGAATTCTCAGCTCCCTGACATGCCCCTGGATTTCCTCCTTCCTCCTACTGCTTGGAAGTCCTTCTCTTACTCTTCCCTTGCTGGTGTCTAAACGAGGAGCATCTTAGTGCTTCATCTTGAGGCACTTTCTCTGTATACATTCTGTTACTTTATTCATTTATATGATGGTGGTTCCTCAATGTTTATGACCTTTTTTTTCACTAATTTTCTATCTGATTGTTTAAACCAAAATTTAGCTCTTTCCCAGTCATTAGACAGTCTTTTTTCCTGTTTTCCGGTCCCCACCCCCGCTCCACCCCTAAGGTAGGGTCTCTTGTGTCCAAGGTTTAGCCTTGAACTAACTACGGCCTTGACTACTGAACTTATTGGTGTTTGACGTTGTACCCTGTTTATGCTGTGTGCTGGGGATGGGGCTTGGGATTTCACACATACTGGAAGAGCACTCTACTAACTGAGCTACATTCCCAACTCATGGTCCCCCCCCCCTTTTAAAAGCTTTAATTTTTTTTAAAGATTTATTTATTTATTATGTATGCAGTATTCTCAGTATTCTGTCTGCATGTATGTCTGCAGGCCAGAAGAGGGCACCAGACCTCATTACAGATGGTTGTGAGCCACCATGTGGTTGCTGGGAATTGAACTCAGGACCTTTGGAAGTGCAGGCAGTGCTCTTAACCACTGAACCATCTCTCCAGCCCAGCTTTAAAAATTATTATTATTATTATTTTATTTTATTTTGCCTGGCAGTGGTGGTGAATGACTTTTTACTCCCAGCACTCAGGAGGTAGAGACAGGCGGAGTCCAAGGCCAGTCTGGACTACATAGTGAGTTACAGGACAGCAGAATTACACAGAGAAACCCTGTTTCGAAAAAAAAAGAAAAATCAGTTATGTGCGCATGTGCGTGCAGTGCCCTTGGAGGCCAAAAGAGAGCACCTGATCCTCTAGAGCTGGAGTTACTGTCTACTATCAGCCACCTGATGTGGTGCTGGGATGCAAACTTCCCTGCAAGAGCAGTACAAGCTTTTAACTGCTGAGCCTCTGCAGCCTGCTGTGGCTTTGTCGATGTAGTGTATAGTCAGAGTTGAAAAAATGGACTTGTCTTCTGCAGTGTGTGTGCGTTAGGAGTGCTGTTCTTTTACAGCTAGCAATTTGGAGATTTAGAAAGAGAAGCAAAGGATACGCAACAGCCCAGCAGTGGGCTTAGGAAGAGTGTGCTTGTTGACTGGCTAGGAAGTGCAAGGTACAGGTTAGTGTTCACTGACTTTGAAGCTTTCAGTTTTCCTGTATCAAAGTTTAGTTTTCTCAGAACATGAAATGATGACATGTTTTAAGCATAGAAGAGTTTAGCAACTTTGTTCGTCATTTCGTTCGTAAGTTAAGTGTGTGGCAATTAATAGACACGGCTCACTTTGTTTGTTCTGTTTTTGGGTGTTTATGTGTGCTTTTAAGGAAAGTGTCAACAGATCATTTTGTTCTGTTTATTCAGACTTCTGTTTTCCAAAGTGGTTGTTTGTTTTCATTAAGTTGACTCAGCACATTAAGCACACTTTACAGGTTAAATTTCAAATAGTAAGACAGCTTCAGTCCAGTAATGAATCACTTACGGGACACTAAGTAACTACCTACCTATAGCATAGATTCCATAGTCTTTAAAGTTCACTTAGGCCCAGGTTTTAATCCTAGCATTTAAGATCAGCAGCAGGAGGATCACAAGGTTAAGGGCAGGCCCATAGCAGTCCCAGGTCAGTCTGTTACACAGTAGAGCCTCTCTTAAAAATAAAGTAAAACCACAAACTCTGAGCTGAGGAGATCTAGCTTCCACCTTCCGAATGCTGAGGTTACAGTTGTGAGTTCCAGTACCCAGTTTTAAAAGAAACAAACGGCCTGGAGAGATGGCTCAGCAGTTATGAGCACCGGCTGCTCTTGCAGAGGACCCAGGTTCAATTCCCAGCACCCACAAGGCAGCTCACAACTGCCTGTTAAGTCCAGTTTCATTGGATGTAAAACCTTCACACAGACATACATGAAAGGAAAACATGAATGTAATGAAATAAAAATAAATAAATGTATATATAAAAGAGTTTATTTAAAAGTAAACCAACCAAAGTTCTCACCCTATAGCCTGGACTGCCTTTGAATTTCTGATCCTCCTTCCTTAACCTGGCAGGTGCTGGTTTACACTGGGTGCCACTGCATCTAGCTCCTTTGTTAACATATTACATCTTAATTATTTATGAGTATATGTATGTCTTGGTGTACATGTGGGGGTCAGGACAACCTGTGGGAGTCAGTTCTTTTTTTCCACTCTGTGGGTACCTGGGATTGAGCTCAGGTCATCAGGCTTGGTGGCGGGTGCCTTACCTACTAAGGCATCTCACTGGGGCCTTACTTGTTAAAAACTTTTTAAAAATTGAGTTCTGTTTATTTATGTATTGGGATACACATGCTCCAGCACACATGTGGAAGTCAGAGGACCACTTGTGGGAGTTAGTTCTTTTTTCCACCATATGGGATCAAATTCAGGCTGTCAGGCTTGGCAGCAGTGCCTTTACTCCCTGAGCCGTCCTGCCGGCCCACTTTTTAAAGTTTCCGTGTGGATATTTGCCTTATGGTTTGTCCAAGCGTTCTCTCCATACACACATCTATGTACACATTGTACTGAACCATTTGAGAGTTACAGACATCATGTCATTATTTTACACCTTTAAAAAATAGTTTTTAACCTGGGTAATGGTGTCACATGCCGTTCCTCCCAGCACACAGGAGGCAGAGGCAGGTTGATCTCTCTGAATTTGAGGCCAGCCTGCTCTAAAGAGCTTGTTCCGGGCCAGTCAGGGCTACACAGAGAAAACTGTCTTGAAAACCAAAAACCGACCAACCAAGCAGACAAAAAAGAACTTCCCTTGGGGCTGGAGAGATGGCTGCATGGTTAAGAGCATTTGCTGCCCTTGTAGAGGACCTGAGTTCTATTTCCAGCATCCGCATCAGATGACATACAGCTGCCTATAACTTCAGCTTCAGGGGATCTCATGCCCTATTCTGGCCTTGGAAGGCACCTGAACACATGTGCGCACACACACACGCATACACATAAATAAATAATACGTCTTATAAAAAGAAATTTCAAGATATTCAGCTCATGTACAGCTCATGGCAAAAGGTGTATACCCATTGACCAAAGATTTGGTCCTGGGGATTGCATTCTAAGCACATGCTCTACCATTCAACTGTATCCCACTCTCTCGTTGGCTTTCTATTGGATGAAATTATGCCTAGAATATATTGGCACTTAATCTGAATATTTATCTGAGTAGCTGGGTCTTAAAAGAAAATCAGCCAGATCTGGTGGTACACAGCGACATTCTTTTTTTCTAATTATTATATCTACAGTATTCTGTCTGCATGCATGCCTATAGGCCAGAAGAAGGTACCAGGTCTCATTATGGATGGTTGTGAGCCACCATATGGTTGCTGGGAATTGAACTCAGGACCTCTGGAAGAGCAGCCTGTGCTCTTAACCTCGGAGCTATCTCGCCAGCCCCACAACTACATTCTTAGCACTCAGATGCCTGCCTGAGGCAGGGGAATCATGAGTATAAAGGCCATAGTGAGATACTGTCGTTGCCCCCCCCCCCCGCAAAAAAGCAAAACGAAACAAAAAAATAGAAAGAAATGGAAACTAGCCGGACAGTGGCGGCGCACGCCTTTCTTCCCAGCTCTCGGGAGGCAGAGACAGGTAGATCTCTGTGAGTTCGAGGCCAGCCTGGTCTACAAAGTGAGTTCCAGGAATTAATTGGTTTCTGCCAGCCAGAGTCTGCAAGATGCAATGTCTGCCTTGTTCACCTGGTCCTCAGGCGGACTTAATGTCCCTGAGGGACTGCATAGGTTGGTGGTGGAGTTCTTGCTTAACCTGTGCCAGACCCCCAGCTTGACCCAGCTCTCCATTTTTTCAAACTGTATGTGAAAGCGAATTCCCAGTTCTCTTCCCCATCTCTCTCTCTTGCTAGAAAAGGCAGGTGACGTTTGTTGGTTCTTACATCTCTGTTTCCTAGAGAGTGTTGGTGTGTGTTTGTGTGTGAGTGTTTGAGACAGGGTCTCCCCATGTAGCCAATGTCACCCTCTTTCCCCATCCATCAGCGTGCTGTGCTTACAAGTATTCACCATTTTGCCCCTGATTTTGTGTGTACAATATTGACTCGAGTAGTTGGGCAATGACTTGGAATTTCTCAGTGCATGACCACAGAGTGGTTTGTGATTTGGAAATAACATATACCAGTGACGGTGGGAATGGATCCATTGGCCTTGCAGTGATAGATCACAGGCGCAGTGTTCCTCTGAGAGCAAGGGGACTGTAATTCAATTTTAGCCGATAGGAAGCCCTGTGGGCTGATTTCCTGATTAAGTAGACATGATTTGATTTGTCTGTTTAGTTTTTTAAAAGACAGGCTCTCATTTAACTCAGTTTGGCCTAAAACTCCCTGTATAGCCGAGGATGACATTGGATTTCTAATACTTTTGCCTCTGATTACAGGCCACCATGCCTGGTGTATTTGGTGCTAGATATGGAACCAAAGCCCTTGTCCTTGCTAGGCAAGCATTCTGCCAGCTGAGCCCTGCACTATTTTTCTTGTGTTAGATTCTTTCTAAATATAATACTCTGCCTTGGGTTCAGTGTCCTTGGGATGAAGCAGGAGATTTGTGCAATTGTAGCGTTTGCTGAATTACCAGGAGCATTTGACCAGGCGCTGCTCACCAATTTGATTTCTGTGCTGACATCACTGTGCTGTTGCCTTGTTGACCCGTGTTAGCTGTGGAAGAGCTCCGCTGTAATTGTTGACTGGGGAAAGCAGCTATCTCTCACGCCATGGTTTTGAAATTCTGCGCTGTCATTTTCACCATGCAGGTCCACTCCCGGCAACAGACTGCACAGTGGTTATGTTGCCCGTGTGTCCGCTCCAGACTGCTCTACCTGGGTTTTTAGATTCTGTTCTAGTTTCCCTTCACCTAGTCCACTCTCATTTTTCATAGTCATGATTATTTTCCAGTTCATGGAACTTCTTACTGTGTGGAGAGTTACTTTACTCTCTGAGCCTCAGCTTTGTCATCTGAAAGTTGGAATCGTATTGATAGGCCCCTGCACTGGAGGACTTTAGTGAGAGTTGACATAATATTTTTTTAAAATTTATTTTATGCTCATAGGCGTTTTGTCTACATGTATGTCTGTATACCATGTGCATGCCTGGTGCCTTTGGAGGTCAGAAGAAGGCTAATGCCCTCATGGTTGGAGTTACAAATGATTGAACCACCATGTGGATGTCATGAATCAAGCCCAGGTCTTCTGAAAGAGCAGCTAGCTAGTACTCCTAACCATTGAGTCATCTCTTCAGTCTGAAATCTTTTTTTAAATAATGGCCTCCATTCGTGGAGGTCGTAATCTTCAAATCTGCCATCTTCATGAAACTGAAAATCTTCATGAAGTAAAACATTTGATAGCACAGATGAAAGTAATGATAATCACATTTTGTAAGCACTTGCAGTGTTCTATTTACCCACATCTTTACGTTTAGTCCTGTATATAATCTTACAGAGGTGTGTAACATTTAATCCTGTATATAATCTTACAAAAGTGTGTAACATTTAATCCTGTATATAATCTTACAAAAGTGTATAACATTTAATCCTGTATATAATCTTACA